AGGTGGGTCTCTGGTCAGCACTGGCCGGTACTCTCCTTCTGGCCAAGCCATTCCACAGCACAATCACTACCAATTCTGTACACGGCACAGCTCCACACTCTCAGACATGCATAATGTGTGCCCACAATAAGATGAAGCTGGACACACCATGTATTCAACAGCATGACCAAACACTGCCCCAATAACTGTCCCACTGTACCTGGACAGGCTGGAGCTGCGCTTGCCCAGGCCCTCCTTCACTCCTAGAGCCTTGCCCACCACCTCCTGATGAGCTTGCAGCCTGGGCACCTGCCATGTTACACGTTAACACCAATAGCCTACTGTCTACCTGGGCGGCCTCTCATATTTCCCCACCTTACCTGCTTCAGTCCCACCTTGACCCTTGCTCAAGCAGCACCACAATGGTCCCAAGAGAGCAACAAGCTGGCCTGCAGTAGGTTCAGCTTTGCCACACCCAGAAACAGGACAAGTCCCAGCGCCTGCAGCACAGGGACAACACGGACAATTAGCATGAGCTTTATTTGTTTGTTTTTTATCCCCCCCACCCCCCAGCATGAGCTTTGTAAGGAAGATAGGTGCATGCTGTCACTGAAAAACAAAGACAATGACCAGGAAATAAAAGTAACAAAGGCAGACACCACACAGCATGAAAACCAACCAACCAGTCTGCTCAGTGGCTGCAGTGACAGCGATGGGCCAGAGTGAGCTCCGGCTTCCCTCTCCGCATGTCCAGTCCCGTCCCACCTTCACACAGGCATCTGTTCCCGTGTGACCGAGGAGCGGTGCGTGTCCCTGTGGCTGGCGTGACCCAGGAGAGCTGTGTGCTGTGTGTCCCCATGGCTGGCAAGGCCAGTGGAAGATATAATTAGCCCAGGCTCCAGAGCAGTCGCTCCACTGAGGAGGTCCCATAGACACCTGATTTGGTGAAACAGGCTTCTTAACCAAACTGAAGAGGGAGGCTGTCTGGGGGCTGTTCTCAAAGTGCATCCCTCTGGGGTCTATAAGTGACTTGGAGACATTACAGACAACCTCAATCCTTTGAGTCACAGACTGTGGAAGAAGTCATAAAGCAGGACAGATTCATGAACAGGGAAACACAGAAGCTAAACATGGACTGTCCCCACCCCCAGGCTCCTCTGGACATGTCCACCTCTGCTTTCCAGCTGGCTGGCTCCTGCAGGTCCCCTGGCGATGTCACAATCTGACATGATGTCAAGTAAGCTCCAGGGTGAACTCTGGCCTTCCTGATGAGTCAGGGGGAGGGCTTTTGTAAGTGCGTGGTGTTTATGCACAATTATGGCTGGCAAATGCAGCAATTCCGGAAGCCGAGTCAGAGGTCACAGTGGCCAGTACAGCACCCCTTCATTCACACCACCACGCCCCCACCTCCATTTATTAAATCCCAGTCTCAGGGACGCTGGCTTCACCCTACACCAGGGAACTACAGCTAGGAGGAAGCCACACCCAGAACCCCCAGGGCCCACCTAGGAAACACAGGCAAACCTGTGCTTCACCCCACCTTCACCTATCCTAGGTTCACAGCCCCAGCTCTGGTCAGGCCACCTGGGAGGGGGTGCTGGCATCTGCACTGTGGGAGAAGCATAAGCTAAATTAAGGATTCTCCCGTCGGTGCCCGGGTGACATCCCCGCGCCACCTACCCATCAGCTGGCGAGCAGCCTTTGCTGCCCACGCAGTCACAGGGACACTTGTGGGGCCTCCTGCCTGCACCTTGCCTGCTCTGACCACTGTGCCCTGGGATGCCACAGCCTGCCCCCTTCTCAGCTCTACCACTGGTTTCTCACAGGAAGGGGTCTTACGGTCTGGTCTTCACACAGAGCTTTATTTCAACTCTCTGCTGATAAAGCATTGCAGGCTCTTGCCCACAGAGTCAGCCCATACCGTGGGCCAGTCTGGTCATCTGCAGAGCCCTGGCTCTCTGTGCCCCCAGAGGTTTCATGCAAACCTCCACACAGATGAGGGCACTACCTCTGCTGGGCTACTGCGTGAACAGTCTCTGGACGCTTGACATCCAGGAGCTGAGCTCAGAGGGGCCAGGAGGCACACATTCCAACAGGGTCCCACAGCCCCGAGAGGAAGAATAACGTGGAACTCAGGGATGTACAGTCACCTGGGACTCTCACAACCCTGAGAAAAAGGATCCAGCCTCTGAGGCCCTTACAGTTCTGAGGAAAAGGAGCTGGAACTCAAGTAGGGTCGGATACTGGGGCCCTTAACCCTGAGGGGAAGGATCCAGAATTAAATGGGTCAGGCATTCACCCAAGGCCTCAAGTAGAGCCAAAACCCAAATCCAAGGGACACCCAACACCCAGGGACTCCACCAGTTCCAGCAAGACACTCAATGTTTCCCTGACCAGCAATATACTTACTACATGCACTGAGTCAATTCCGATTCATACTGACTCCAGTGAGGAGAAAGGCCCGCCAACTGAGCCCTGACTGAGCCCCAGTGAAGACATCTCACCCAGCCAGGAGGAGCTGAGGAGATGCCCTGGGCTGGGCTACTTCCTGCAGCGGGCACTGTGAAGAGGCAGTGTGACGTTGTCCTGTAAGCACAGGTGACATCAAACTTCCTCTCTTCTCACCCGGAAGCCACCCCTCCAAACAAGGGAGATTCACCAACGTGGGAGTAGCTGTCTCGGCACTTACTAAGTGTTTATATCAAACAGAAGTCACCCAGAGTCAAAGACAGCAGTCAGCAACTGGATGTGTAAGCACATCCCGTCCTTCCAGCACATTCCGGTTGATTACTATGTCTACAGAGTTGCAGCCCCAGCTCCAGACACCTCTAAAGGAGAGAGACAGTGGGGGTCTGTTCCCAGGGTGCACAGAAGCTTCCTGAACCACTGAGAATGTTCTACACAAGTCGCCTTCCCCAGGCCCTGACACACCTGAGTATAAAAGCCTCAGCCCAGTTAAAAAACACAAAGGTCTTCCCCACGAGCTCTGATTGGCAAAGCACGTAACCACAGGGCTGGACAGGAGACTGGACAGACGGCTAGTGACAGACTGCACACGTGAGGCTCTATCAGCAGCCAATGGGGAGTCTGTTTACACAAACAAGTTCTCCAACTCTTCCAATCCCACCACCTAAAACCCCTAGAAGTTCAAGCCACCTTGTTCCACACTCCACCTACTAAACTGCCAACTGCAAAGAGGAAAACCCCAAAACTGCTGAGTATATTAAATTCCCCGGCAGCGGTGGCGGCAGTGACTTCAGAGAAAAATAGAAGTGTAGATCACCCCGAAACGCAAGCCCTTGGCCAAGTTGCTGCAAAGAGTCCTGGAGCACTGGCTGGTGAGCACTCCCAAGCCTACTCGTCTGCAATTACCTTCACAGAAGACCCGGCTGGGCATGGGAGTTCACCCAGACCCAAAATTAAAAATAGCACCGTGAAGCCAGAGATGGATGCCAGGCTGGGTCTCTGACAATTGGGGCGGCCAAGGGCTTCGACTCGGGGTGACCGTGTCCCACATCTGCCTCATTCCTAAGACTTGGGGGGCTCCCTCAGCTAATTAGCTAGCACAGTCGCCTTCCTATCCAAAGGCCACCCTTACTGGGATTGCCCAGGAAGACTCCTCTTGGCCCGAATTCACCAGGAAGAGTGGCTCAACCTGCCTCCTACCCAGTGGGGGCACCTCGGCCTCATCTTGGGGAACCCTTTGGACAAGGTGAGAAGTAGCTCTTCTAAATCAAGTGGTGATCACTCCTCAACAGAAGGGGAAATCAAGGCAGTGAGCTGGGACAGAAACTGCCCAAGGAAGAAGGAAGAAACGCCTGGAAGCTCTGGCGCCGGGAACCAAAAGGGGAAGAAATTCCTGGCTTGGCTCATGGTGCCAAGCGAGTCCAGGGCAGGAAGAACGCCACATTCCTTCCTAGTTAGTCTCTCCTCTCGAGCTCGCCGCCCCCCCACCCCAAAGACACAAACACTGGCAGGGAGATGGGCCTCCCAAGATTGGAGGCACCCCACCCCAACACCTTAGCACTCTGACAACACCCACCACCACCACTTTCCAAATACTGAGGCAAAGCACTGAAAAAAACCACTTCCTCCCGGGGACCTGTCCGGCCCCGGACACCTGCAACTCAGGTCCCTGCGGGGAGGGAGGGCGCCATGACACACAGAGAAATGGGAGCGGCGGGCTCTGACTGTGGCCCCAGATGTGCCCCAAGATGGGCTTTGAGAATAGGGCCCGGTGGTCATCTCCCTCTGCCCCACAGATGGCAGAACTGAAACGTCTCAAGCTTCCCCAGATGGGCCAAATCGGCGCCTGAGAAGTTCAAGAGTGCAAGGCTGCCAGGTGTGGTGGCCGGGATTTCCGCCCAGGTGCCCACACAGCAAGGGCCCCCTACCTGCGAGAAGCAGACCCCCACATACCCACAGAGAAGCAGCACCGTTTCCCCCCCACACTCACCCTCCCCACAATGTGTCAAGTCAGGCAGGGTCACCTGGAGGGGGTGGGAGTTGGAGATGAGCTGTCAGTTTCTCCCCAAGCTCGCCTTTCCTGAGAATGAAGAGCCGAGGCCTCACTGACAGGCTCCAAAGCCGCACGCAGGGGCAGACTCAGTCTCCTCCCATACCTGCTCACCCACCAGCTCGGGGATTCGGGAGGGGAAGCCCCAATGAGGCCCCTACAGGTGCCCCGACGACAGCGACCTCCTACCGATATGGTCAATGACCCAGACGGAAAGTGCCCTCAATAAGGCAAACACAGCCACCCCATCACGCTTCCATGGACACAGATGGAAAATCCCAGGGACCACTGGCCAGGTACATAGACCCGCCCTGCCCAGGTGCTTTACAGACAAGGAGAGAGTTCCCGGAAGCCTCCTGGATGCTACTAGTGGGGCGCGCGAGTCTGGGCCCCTCGCCGGGGCCGCCCCCCTGGTGCCCGGGAAGGCCGCGCCGGCCCCGCGCCCCCAGGGCCCGGTCCCGCACCCTGCTTGCCCCGCGTGCCCCGCTGCCGCGCCGCTGCTCACCTGGCTGGCCTGATAGCTCTCGAAAGCCCTCAGAGCGCTGTCGGTGAGCTTCACGTGAAACACCGACACGCGGCTGCCGTCGCCCAGCCGCCCGCACGACAGCCCGTAGTTCCGAGCCTCCTTCAGCGCCGCCATCTTGCGACCATCGATTCCCCCGCCCCCCGTCCCGGCTCCAGTGCGGACGCGCGGTCTCGCCCCGCCCACCGCCTGCTGACGTGCTTTATTATTCATAAGACGTGGAGGGTCACGCCCCCTGCTCGGCTACCGTTCTTCCCGAACGTGCTGCATATTCATAAAGTCACGGCTTGCCCCGCCTCCCGAGGCACTCCACACACCATCTAAACTCCGCCCCGACGCCCGCATCTCCTCCGAGCCACGCCTTTTATTACATATTCATGAAGCTGACTCAGCCGGACATGCCGAGGCCCTGCCCACCTGCTGCTGACGTGATGTATTATTTATAAGGTTCCTTCCGTCCTCCGGCTTGACTTCGGTTAGCGTCGCCGGGACGGAACGGGGGGCGTGGGCTGCGCGCCGCACGTGGAGGGCGGAGGCAGTGGGCCTAGCGGATAGGCGTGGTTATGCAAAGCAGGTGCGCATAGGACGCTGGGTTGGATTGCCTGTACTTCCCTTTAAGGTGGGCAGGGGGCATTTCCCGGTTAGTGCTGAAGTGGGGAACGCGATCAACGTTGTTCACGTTAAGAATTCATTTTCCTTAACATAAACACCAGTAGCCCCGTGGACTCTAAGCGAAGATGGAGTAAAATTTCCCCGTATTTACCACACACCTCCCGATTTCTTTAAATAAAACTGAGTTATGTTTAAAAAAAAAAATTGAGCCATGTTTTCATATATCTTAAAATTTACTTTTCCGAGAACAGGATTAGATTACTTTTGTAACCTCAATTTTACCATAATAACTTTTAAAACATATTCCTCCTTGTAAGAAGACTTTTCATTCCACTTGGTTAACTGTAACTCCTAACAACCAGTAATATGCTTTCTATCTCAATAAATGTAACTTTTCTGGACATTTCCTATGAATGTAATAAAACAATTAAATCTGCAAACTGGATATGATGCTTCTATGTAAAACCATAAAATATATATAAGGGAATTAAAACCTAAACATATGGAGAAAAATTGAATTGTGCAGTATTTGTCCTTTCAAGACTGGCTTCCTTCATTTAACGTAATGGTTTTTATTTCTTTGCTTGTTTGTTTTTAATATTGTTACTGATGACAAGGAACCCTGATGACATGGGACTTAATGGGCTCAGATGCTAACCGAAAGGTTGCTGGTTCCAAATTACCAGCTGCTCTTGGGGGGAGGGAAATACGGCAATCTGCTTTTATAAAGATATATACAGCATTGGAAATCCAATGAGCAAGTTTTTCTCTTGTCATGTAGTGTCACTGGGAGCTCCGGTGGCCTAATGTATACGGAGTTGCACTGTCAACTCACAGGAATGTGGTTCAAATACACCAGCTGTTCTGTGGGAGAAAGATGAGTAATCTCCTCCCGTGAGGTTTATTGTCTTTGAAAACTGGCTGGAGGGTCAGCTATGAGTCAGTTCTAAGTTCACAGCACATAACAACACCAACACAGGGTCACTGTGAGTTAGAACTAATTTGTCTCTAAGCTAAAAGCTGTCAGTTCAAATTTATCCAGCAGAACTATGGAAGAAAGTCCTAATCTCTTTCCATAGCCAGAAACCCTCCACAGAATAGTTCTACTCAGTAACAAACCAGGTGACTATAAGTCGGAATCGGTTCATGAAGGGCAGTGAGTACAAGAGAAAAGACAGGAAAGAATGGACAGTCATTCTTAAATGGTGCAGGGCTTCCCTTTGTGGAGATAAAGATGATCTAGGATTGTGATGGTTGTTCAGTCTTGTAAGTGTAATAATGACCATTGAATTAGAAATGGAAAAGGATGGATTTTGTGGTACATGCATTATTGTTCAATAATTTTAAAAAAACGAACTCATTGCCACTAAGTCGATTCTGACTCACAGCTGTCTTTCTCATAGAACAAAATAGACTCGCTCACAGGGTATGCAAGGCTGTCAGTCTTAAGTGAGTTTAGTGAGTTTAGTGGCTGGTGGGTTTTAACTGCTGACAATTTGGTTAGCAGTCACATGTGTTGACTGAATGCATGATTTTGTTTCATTCTCACCCATCAATTCATTTCACGGAAGAGGAGAGGCTCAGGAAATCAACCTATTGCTGTTAATGCTTCTGTAAAACCTCCAACTCCAACCTCTCTGAGCTGAAGACTCTGGGATCTTCCAACCCTCTGCCTGGATCAGCCAGTTCTATGGGTGGATGCCAGCACATGCCCAGACACAGTGACCATTTCCTCACAGCCCGTGACCATTTCCCCAAATGCCCTGTTTATCTAGGCGGCTGAGCCAGTTCAGTATTGTAGCAGGTGGGGCTGTGCTGCCCGGGAGGGTTACAGGAGGGCAGGAGCAGAAGCAGGTGGGACACAGGAGGAGGTAAGGAAAGGGAAGGAGGGGATACAGCAGCCTGGTTGCTGAGTGAAGAAGGTGCAAAGAGCAGCCTTTGTGGCTCTTTCCGTGACTTTAGGAGCCCTGCTGGCATAGTGGTTAAGTAGTGAGCTGCTAACCAAAAGGTTGGTGGTTCTAGCCCACCAGCCAACCCATAGCAAAGAGATGTGACCATCTGTGTCCATTGCCATTTAATTGATCCTGACTCATGGGAACGCTGCATCAGATTTCCAACCTTGTCTTTCTCTCAAGGAGTAGACAGCGAATTCAAACCACTAACCTTTCAGTTAGCAGATCAACACATAAGGCAGTCCACCAGGCCCTTGAAAACACTATGAGGCACCTCTGTATTTTTTTGTTGTTATATGTCATCAAGTCACCTGCGAATCATAGTGATCCTACGTACAGACTATATACAGGCTCTGAAGCCTGAACTATCCTGGGCCAGTCTCACTGACTCCAACACACCTACCCCCTTGCTCGGTTACTGTATCAATTGATCTGATCCGGGGTCTTCCTCTCCTGCTCTGTCCCTCCACCCTTCTGAACATGATGTCCTTCTCCAAGGAACAGTCCCTCCTGACCACACACCCAAATTATGGGAGATGAAGCTTCAAAATCCTAGCCTCCAAGGAGAAACTTGGTTTCACCCTCTCCAAGACAGACTTATTTGTTTTCTTGGCAGTCCATGGTATGTTCAAAACTCTTCTCCAGCACCACAACTCAAAGGCATCAATTCTTCTTCTGTCATTCTTAGTAATTGTCCAGGTCTCTGATGCATTGCAAATAATTGCAAAGACTATGTCCAGGATCAGGCACACCTTACTCTCTAGACTGACATTGTTGCTTCTCAGTACTCTGGAAAGGTTCTTGACAGCAGATTTACCTAATGCAATTCACCTTTTGATTTCCTGTTGATGCCAAAAGTGTTGGTTGTGGAGCCGAACAAGCAAGCTATTAAGCAACCTCAATCTCTTCTCCATCTATCATGGTGCTGCCAATTGGCCCAGTGGTGAAAATCTTTGTCTTGTTAATGTTGACATTCAATCCATATGAATTAGAACTGACTCCCAGATAGTGTTGTGGTTGTGGATGATCCCCAACTCATCTGGTCTCCAGTCATTAATGTCCAGTGCCTCACACCTACTCCTTTTTTTGTAATTTGCTGTACCATCAAATTGGATCAGACTGGCACAGGAGAAGTTTGCCCCTCCTTCTCCAGCAGAGCATCTGGTGGATTTGAACTGCTCACCTTCAGGATTGCAGTGCAACTTCTCGCCACTAGACCACCAGAGCTCCCTACACCTATTCTTTTTTTAAATAAAATTTTCTTTTATACTGGTTTGCTTACATAGTTCTGTACATTGTTTTTCACATCAGCTCTAACCCATTTCCTTTATCCACCTCTCCCTCTACCCATCATATTGTGCAACACTATGATTATCCTCCTACCCATCCTCACCTCTCTGCTCCTTCCCTCCCCACCTTGAATCCTCATAGTTTTACTAGTTAGCTTTCTATTTCTACTGTATTTCTCCTTACGGGACTGAGTTAGTTCACTTAACATAATGCTCTCTTGACTCTCCCAAGTTAGGTAGGAATTTTCAAAATCATTGTTCCTGTATGCTACATAGTATTCCATGGTGTGAATGTACCATAATTTCTCAATTCACTCAATTGTGGTTAGACATTTGGGTAGTTTCCATGTTCTTGCTACGCTGCTGTGAACATTGGTGTACAAAGCTCTGTTTGTGCCTCAGTTCTAATTTTCTAGGGATATGTTCCAAGCAGTAGAATAGCTGGATCATATGGAATTTCTATGTTCAGCTTCCCCACCCCCCCACTTTTGTTGTGTACGGTGGTTGGAATCGGATCTGACTGCCACAGGAGGAGATTGCCCCTCCTTCTTGAGCACAGATACAGCACGTCTTTGGGATTGCAAGGTAGCTTCTTGCCACTAGGCCCCCAGAGCTCCCTCTATGTTCAGCTTTTTGAGGAAAGGACAAACTGCCTTCCAGAGTCGCATTTATTCTAGATATGGTCTTTAAATTCAGGTACTATAGACTCAAGATCGTATGTTGGTTCTTGTGGATTTTTCATTTTTTTTTTTAGCTTCAGTTTAGACTTGCAGATGAGTAATTGATGGTGTGTTCGTTCCACAGGCAGCACCTGGCCTGTTTTTTCCTGATGATATTGAGCTTCTCCAACAATTCTTTCCACAGACATAGGCAATCTGATTCTTATATAGTCCATCAGGCAAAGTCCATGTGTATTTTTTTCCACAATGTGCTTTTTTTAAGTATTTGCAATGAATAACTCATTGTGCAATAACTGATTGTGCAAAATGCAATCATTTAATCTCCATTCTCATTTTCGTTACCAAATCTGCAGTTTCCGACTGCAAGTCCTTCTTTGTTTCCAGTTTTTGTATTCCAGTCACCAATTATTATAGAATATCACTTGCATGTTCGATCAATGTCAAACAGTATAAAAATTAGTTGTTGCTATGTGTTGTCAAGTCACCTGTGACTCCTAGCAAACTTATGTTAAGAGCCCTAAACGCCACTCTATCCTGTGCCAACCTCTCCGTCTCTGACACACTCATTCCCACAACCCCAGTCA